CTGTTGCCATGTGATGTGATGCATATCTTGCCCTCAGTTCTGTCACTATGGGTGCTAATCCGCTCAGATTTGGCAGCAGGTACAGACACATTGTCAATTTCATACCAGGGACTTCTGACATGGGAAATCTAAATTGTTGTTCCAGAGGTGTGTTCACATTAACATTTTGAAAATAGCATTCCCCATGTAGCGTAGTGGTTACGAATCGGGCTGCGAACCTTAAGGTCAGCGGTTCGAAACTACCAGCCGCTCCGCGGGAGAAAGATGAGGCTTTCTACTCCCGTAAGGATTTACACCCTCGGAAACCCTGTACAGGGTCGCTATGGGTCGGAACTGACTCGAAGGCACTTAACAACAACAACAACAACAATGGGCCTTTAATCTTGTTCCCAAATATTTTCCTCAACATTTTTCATTTTCTCCCTCTCTAATTTGTCATGTGGAGTCCTGGTGTGGCATTGTGGGCTAATGCGCCAGACTGCAAAGCCATTTGTGCTTTGGCAGGTGGGCGGTTCAAGCTCACCAGTTGCTCCTCAGAAACCCTATACAGGGTCGCAATGGGTAGGATCCGACTTGACGGCACTTAACAACAACAACAATTTGTCATCTAGATTTATAAATGTTTTATAGTTTTGTTTTATACTTCAGCCTCTTCAGCAGATCAAAACTGCCAGCTATTCTGCCGGAGGAAGATGAGGCTTTCTGTTCCTGTGAAGATTTACAAGCCTCAGAAACCCTATGCAGGGTCACTATGAGTCGGAACCGACTCCACAGCACATAACCACCACCACCATCAAGTAAGTTGCCCTTTAAAATATTTTCTATATTTACCAAATGGTAATATTTCCTCTCTCATCCCATTAGGTATTTACTGAGGGAATATGGGCATCCCTAGTGGCACAGTGATTAAGCGCTAAGCGTCTAACCAAAAGTTCCGTGAGGTGTCTGCTCCTCAAAGATTTTCAGCTTCAGAAACCAAAGGAGCGCTTTACGCTGACCTACTGTGTGACTTAAAATCAACATGATAGCCGTGGGTGGGAAAAGATGGCTTTTTGTGGTTCATTCTAAACAAAACCGTAATCACTGCTAGTAATGGAGAGAAAGATTTTAATAGGTTTTTAGTTATATATGTTGTAACCCTTTGTAATCATTGTTCCCAATCATTACTACCCGGACTAACTTCTACCTTGTGTACACACTCCCGGGACATGCAGCTGAAGGACTTAGTGGTGTATTGTTGATTAGAACTCAGAAAAGACAAGTTGGGAGGAGGAAACTCAGAAGAAAGGAAGCGTCTGGTGCTCAGGTGTCTTCAGTAACACCACCCTTTGTCTGAAGGGAAAAAAGGAAGTTACTCCCAGAGTGTAAAGGACCTTGAGCTGGTGGGCTGCAGACTGCCCTTCTGGGGGCTGGGGACAGTGGTGGCTAGGGGGCATTAAGCTCTGAGAAAGGAATGTGGCAAAAACACATGGGTTGCTATCCAGGAGGGTCATTAAAACTCCACCATATGGGGCAAGCCAAAGCAGCTTTTTGAGAAATGTTCCACTGCATTCCACATCTGTCCATAAAATATGTACTGATTATCACCCTGTCTCTGATATTGGCTGCAGCGTCTGGCAATCGGACTTTTGTCCAGAAATAGTAATTAGCAACTTCTTTATTACTAGCTCTTTGAATCTGGTCTAATGATTCTTACTTGATAGGGTCATTGTGAATATCAAAGGAATTGTGTGTGTAAAGTCCTTAGTGCAACATCAGCACTCAATAAAGATTTGTGAAATTGTCGCGTCTGAGTCATGCCTGAGTGTAACAGCTCTTGTTTCCTTCTGATTATTGCTTGTCTCCTTCTTCTTATTGCTGTATTCCCTTCTCTTCACCCCAATACTGTGGATCTTGATTGTCCTTAACCTCCACTTCATTATGCTCACTGCCACCAAGTCAATTCAGAGTCTTAGCGACACTACAGGACAAAGTAGAACTGCTCCACAGAATTTCCAAAGCTGTATATATATGGAGCCCTCATGTGGTGTTCTGGTAGTG